TTCAACATAGTACTGGAAGTCCTAAACAAAGCAAAAGGAAAGAGAAATAAAAGGCATCCAAGTTGGAAAGGAATAAGTAAAATTGTCACTATGGAAGACATAATTTCATATATATTTAAAAATCCATCAAAAACCCTGACCATTTTTGCTGAGTGGATAGAGCGTCGGCCTGCGGACTGAAGGGTCCTGGGTTCGATTCCAGTCAAGGGCATGTACCTTGGTTGCGGGCACATCCCCAGTGGGGGGTGTGCAGGAGGCAGCTGGTCAATGTTTCTCTCTCATCGATGTTTCTAACTCTCTATCCCTCTCCCTTCCTCTCTGTAAAAAATCAATAAAATATATTTTTTTAAAAATCCATCAAAAGAATAGAAATAAATGAATATAGTAAAGTTGGAGGATATAAAATCAATATACAGAAATCTGTTGTATTTGTATATACTACCAACGAACTATCTGAAAGAAAAATGAAAACAATCCCATTTACAATTGCAACAAAAAGAATAAAGCACCTAGGAACACACTTGAGGTGAAAGACCTGTACATTGAAAACTACACAAAGAAATGGAAAGATAGTCTGTGTTCATGGACTGGAAGAATTACATTGTTAAAATGCCCATAATACCTAAAGCAATCTATAGATTCGATGTAATCCCAATGGCATTTTTACAGAAATAGAAAGAAAAATCCTAAAATTTGTATGGAACCAGAAAAGACCCCAAACAGCCAAAGCAATCCTGGGGGATGGGGGGGGGGGGCACAAAAAATACCCAGAGGTATCACACTCCCCAATTTCAAACTATATTACAAAACTAATCAAAACAGTATGGTACTGACAGAAAAAGACACACAGACCAAAAAAAAAAAAGAACAATGGGACAGAATTGAGAGCCCAGAAATAAACCTACACATATATGGGGCAGTTGACATTGCACACCAGTAGTTTTATTGCTAGCTTTACCCAGTGGCCAGATAAGTTTCTATTGAACGAGTACAAAAAACGTTTTACAAAGTATCATACTTTAAAAAGATCTTAGCTTGTAAAAACATGTAATAAGAAACTTCAAAATGCAATGGCTATTTAATTTTAAGGCATCCCTTTAATATTTATGTAAAACACTGTGTAATATAAAAACACAAGAATGCTCGTGATCCGCCCGCAATGTGTTAATTTACAACAAAGGAGCCAAGATAATACAGTGGAGAAAGGAAAGTCACAATAAATGGTGTTAGGATAACTGGACAGCCACATGCAAAATAATGAATCTAGACCACTATCTTTGTTGTTGTGATTCCCCACCCAAGGATATCTTTTCCATTTATTTTTTGAGGGGGGTGGGGGACAAAACGGAGAGGGAGAGAGAAACATCTATATGAGAAGGACACATTAATTGGTTGCCTCCCGCATGTGCCCTGATTGGGGCTGGGGATTGAACCTGCAACCAAGGTATGTGTGCCCTTGACTGGGAATCGAACCCATAACCCTTTGGTGTGCAAGCCAATGCTACAACGACTGACTCACACCAGCCAGGCCTTGACACTATCTTATACCACATACAAAAATTCACTCAAAATGGATTTAAAGACCTGAATGTAAGACCTAAAATAATAAAATACATGAAAGAACACATAGGTAATAAGCTTCTGAACAATCAGTTTCAGTGGTGTTTATGTGAATTTGACTTCAAAGACAAGGAAAACAAAAATAAAGAAATGGGACTATATCAAATTAAAGAGCTTCCTCACATCAAAGGAAACCACCAAAAATACAAAAGAGGCAACCAACCAAATGGGAGAAGATATTTGCAAATGATACTTCTGAATAAGGCATTAGTATCCAAAATATATAAAGAATGCATGCAACAATAAAAATGATTAAAATATGAACAGAGGATATGAATAGATATTTTTCTAAGCAAGACATCCAGATGGCCAACAGATAATATATGTTCAACATCAATAATTATAAAAATGCAAATCAAAACCACAACTAGATATCACCTCATAGCTGTTAAAATGGCTATTATAAAAAATGCAACAGCCCTAGCCGGTTTGGCTCAGTGGAGAGAGCGTTGGCCTGCGGACTGAAGGGTCCTGGGTTCAATTCCAGTCAAGGGCACATGCCCAGGTTGTGGGCTCAATCCCCAGTAGGGAGCATGCAGGAGGCAGCCTATCAGTGATACTCATCATTGATGTTTCTATCTCCCTCTCTGAAATCAATAAAAATATATATATATTTTTTTTAAATGCAACAAATAAGTGTTGTCAAGGATGTGGAGAAAAGAGAACCATCATACACTATTGGTGAGAATGTAATTTGGTGCAGCCACTATGAAAAGCAGTTTGGAGGTCCCTTAAAAATTAATACTAGCCCAAGCCAGTTTGGCTCAGTGGATAGAGCATTGGCCTGCAGACAGAAGGGTCCCAGGTTCGATTCCGATCAAGGACACATGCCCGGGTTGTGGGCTCAATCCCCAGTAGGGGGCATGCAGGAGGCAGCCAATCAATGATTCTCTCTCATTGATGTTTCTATCTCTCCCTCTCCATCTCTGAAATCAAAAAAAATATTTTTTAAATTTTTTTTTAATTAAAATACCATATGACTCAGCAATTTCTTTTCTGGGTATTTATACAAAGAATATGAAAACATTTAAAAAGCTATATGAACCCCTATGTTCATTGCAACATTATTTACAATAGCCAAGATATGGAAACAACGTTAGCATTCATCAATGCATGAATGGATAAGATGTGCAATATATAGATATAATGAAATACTACCATGACATTAAAAAAAAGTTGAAATATTGCCACTTGTAACAGAATAGGTGGATTTGGAGGGTATTATGTTAAGCAAAATTAAGTCCGATGGAAAAGGACAAAAATCGTATGATTTACTCATCTGTAGAATACAAAACAAAAAAGTAACAAGTGAACTAACAAAACAAACTCATAGGTACAACAAAATGATGGCACCAAAAAGGAAGGGGATGGAAGAGGGCAAAATGGGTAAAGGGGTCAAATATATGCTAATGAATAGAAACTAAACTTTTAGAGATGAGAACACAATAGGGTACACAAATAAATCATAATATTGCACACCTGAAATTTATAGGATGTTAACCAGTTACAATAAAAATTAATTTAAAAAATATATTTTATTGATTTTTTACAGAGAGGAAGGGAGAGAGATAGAGAGTTAGAAACATCGATGAGAGAGAAACATCAATCAGCCGCCTCCTGCACATCTCCCACTGGGGATGTGCCCGCAACCCAGGTACATGCCCTTGACCGGAATCGAACCTGGGACCTTTCAGTCCGCAGGCCGACGCTCTATCCACTGAGCCGAACCGGTTTCGGCAAAAATTAATTTAAAATATAATGGTGCTAATTTAGTAAGTAATAAATTTTAAAGATAAATAAAATTAAAAGGTGAAATACAGGCTTTAAAAAAGAAAATCTGAAAGAATGAATCACCAGCAGAGCTGTATTACAAGAAATGTAAGGAAGTTCTTCAGGCACAAGAAAAATACTACCAATGAAAATCAGGATCTACACAAAGAAACGAGCACCAGAAATAGTAAATATCTGAGTAAATATAAGACTTTAATTTCTTTAATCTCTCTAAACATATTGACTAAAGTACATTGTGGGCTTATAGCTTATGTAAAAATAAAATATGTAACAACAGTAGCACAAATAATGGAAAGGGGAAATGAAAGTAGCCTATTGTAAGGGTCTAGTATACCTGAAGGGGTGTCATATTTGAAGACATACAGTAATATGTTGAAGGTGTATTTGTAAATCCTAGGTAAACCACTAAAATAATAAAACAGAGGGTAGCTAACAACTTAATAGTGAAGGTAACATATCATAAAAATACTCAATCCAAAAGTGGGCATGAAAAAGAGAAAAATGTGAACAAAAACAGATGGGACAAACAGATGGGAAAAACAAATACCCATGTTGCAGATTTAAACCAAAGAATATAGGTCATTACAATAAATAAAAAGCCCCTGGTAGAACTATCAGAATAGATTTTTTTAAAGACCCACTATATACTGTTTATATGAAACCCACTTTAAGCCTAAACACACAGATAAATTAAAACAACGGGAATGACTTTTAAAAATATATAAACACCACCCTAGCTTGTTTGGCTCAGTGGATAGAGCATCGCCTGCGGACTGAAGTATCCCAGGTTCGATTCCAGTCAAGGGCACATGCCCGGGTTGTGGGCTGGACCCCCAGTAGGAGGTGTGCAGGAGGCAGCCGATCAATGGTTCTCTCTCATCATTGATGTTTCTATCTCTCTCCTTTCCCTTCCTCTCTGAAATCAATAAAAATGTTATCTATTCTAATAAAAGCCTATGTGGTCATCACACCGTAACAACCCATCTCCAGCAGCCTGCGTGCGCAGCAGGTGCACACGGGTGGGCGGGGCTGCATGTGTGGCGAGGCACGCATGGGTGGGCGGGGACTTGACGCTGCGTGCACAGCTCCACGCAGAGCCGGGTCCTGGCGCGTCCACATGGCGAGGCTGGAGGTCCCGGCGGCTCCACGCTGAGCCGCAAAGGCAGGACCCCCAGCTCCGGCCTACCTCTTTGGGGCAATCCATTGAGGAGCCCTGGATGGGTGGCGGGGCCTACCTCTTTGGGGAAATAGATCGCGGGGCTCCCACACTGTGAGAGGGCACAGGCCAGGCTGGGGAAACCCCCCCACTGAGTGCATGAATTTCGTGCACCAGGCCTCTAGTGTGTGTGTGTGTGTGTACTAATCAGAAGGTAGCTGAAGTGTCTATACAAGTTTCCCCCAATATCTGAAAGTAGAGCATTCCTGTGAAACTTCACAAGCCAAAATGGCATAAAGCGAAGAAGCAATTACCATTATTTTATATGGAAAAAATTTTGAGCACTCCCAGACCCAAAAGTAACCTACCAAATAACATGTAAAACTTAAAATAACACTACATATAGTAAAAGCAGGAATTATATGATAACATACCATGCTTTAAACACCCATCAATCCACTCAAGCAATAGACTCCATCTTATCCATTACTGGATGCCAACTTAAAGAGACTCCTTTACTACTAGCAGAACCAACAGTAACTTCAACAGCTTTCAAGATTCTGTGTGTAAATAGTACAAATGGTGGGCTCAGGAAAGTTCAACACTCATACAATATATTTCATTCACCACAATCAAAATACTTATGTACAGTTTTACACTAAACATGACACCCATATACGCGCGCTCTCAGATTTTTCTGATACCTTGGGACACATATTGCTAATGGATACACAAAAGAAACCGAGATAAAGCACAGACACTCACAGACGCAGCTCGAAGCTCTGGTGCCTGGTGCTGAAATGCTGGGTGTCGGTCCTGGGGAGGGAGTTTGGTGGTGACACTCTTGCTGCTCCGAGTGCACGCTGCCTCTATAATGGCTTGCTGCAAAATAAACAGTGAACACACTTTTTGCTTTTTGACGTTTTCATAAAAATGAAAATCCTTTCAGATTTCTTTCATTTGGTAAAAACAGATAATGTAGGTCTTTCATAAAAACGAAGCAGCATAACATGAACTTTCAAAGAGCAGGAGATATCTGTATTAATATAAGATAAAAGGACTTCAGAACAAGAAATATCAGGGATAAAGAGGAACATTAAAAAAAGGAACATGAATTCATCAAGATTACATAACAATCCTAAATGTGTATGCACCTAAAATAGAGCTTCAAAATATGTGAAACAAAAACTGACAGAACTGAAGAGAAATAATCCAGTTACAGCTGGAGATCTCAGCACTCCTCTTTCAGTAACAGAACAAGTAGATCCCTCAAAATCAGTAAGTTTATAGAACATAAAAAACCTATCACTCAATGACGTAACTGGCATTTATAGAACATTCTACCCAGTGGCACTTAAATGCATTCTTTTCAAGTGCATCTGGAGTAATCATCAAGACAGACTAATTTCTGGACCCTAAAACGAACTTTAACAAATCTAAAGAGAATTGAAATCATACAAAACATATTATCTGACTATAATGAAAGTTAATTAGAAATCAATATAATAGAAATACATTTGGAAAATCTTCAAATATTTGGAAATTTAAGCAATACACATAGAGATAATTCATAGGCCAAAGGAAAAAATCACAATAAAAATAGTTACCTTTAGCCCTAGCCGGTTGCCCAGTGGTTACAGCATTGGCCCTCAGACTGAAGGGTCACAGTTCTATTCTGGTCAAGGGCACAAACGTCCTTTGCAAGCTCGATCCTCAGCCAGGGTCCGGGAGTGTGCAGGAGGCAACCAATCAATGTGTCTCACATCAATGTTTCTTTCTGTCTCTCCCCTTTGCTTCCACTCTCTCTAAAAATCAATGGAAAAAAAATATTCTCGGGTGAGGATTAAAAAAATAAAAAATCTACCCAGCTGGTGTCGCTCAGTGGTTGAGCATCAACCCAGGAACCAAGAGGCAACCAGTTAGAATCCTGGTCAGGGCATATGTGGGCTTGATCTGCTCATGGGGGGCATGCAGAAGGGAGCCGATCGATGATGTTTCTCTCTCATCAATGTTTCTATGTCCCTTCCTCTTTCTCTAAAAATCAATTTAAAAAAATATTTTCAAAAAATAAAAAATCCACCCGGCCGGCATGGCTCAGTGGTTGAGCATTGACCTGTGAATTCAAGGGTCCCGGGTTCAATTCCCGGTCAGGGCTCATGCCCGGGTTGCGGGCTCGATCCCCAGTGGGGGGCGTGCAGGAGGCAGCCGATCCTTGATTCTCTCTCATGGATGTTTCTCTTCTCTTCTCTTCTCCTCTCCTCTCCTCTCCTCTCCTCTCCTCTCCTCTCCTCTCCTCTCCTCTCCTCTCCTCTCCTCCTCTCCCATCCTCTCTCTCTAAACAAATCAATTAAAAAAATTTTTTTAATAAAAAAATAAAAAGACCCTGAGTTTATGATAGAAATAAAATTTTGGAGGTAGCTAGGACACCAAATGTACTTTGAAAATTAGTAAACAAATAGAAAAAAAATCATGTATTTTGCCTTTCCTGTATAAACTATATTAAGGAACAATTTTAAAAATCACCATTTGTAATTCCTAATAAATGATGGATGTAGACAATTATCAATAGAAGATAAATCCATTAAGTGAAAAGTTAACAGGAAACTTTAAAATGAATAGGATCATTTAACAACACTTGAATTCATGGATAAATCTTATTCTTAAAACTTCAGTAAAAGTGGAGCTACCAGATATTGTATGCCTTGTAATGGAATTCAATAATAAGTACACAATACCAACAATGAAGTATTCTCCCCCAAAAGTACAAGTTAAATCCTAATGAAACTTCATCTGAAGATATAACTACCAGTTTACAGAAAGCAGGGGAGAGAGAAACAAGTTAAGTAATACCACAGGAAGCGATCAGCAAAGTCCAGAAGGTGGGAAATTGTACAGGACAAATAACCTGTTTTTGTTTTTGTTTTTTTAATAAATGGCGTGGACCCTGCTGGTATGGCTCGGTTGGTTGAGCATAGTCCTGTGCACCCGAGAGTCACAGGCTTGATTCATGGTCAGGGCACTGCTTGATCCCCAGTGCGGGGCATGCAGGAGGCAGCCAATCGATGTTTCTTTCTCCCTCTCCCACTCTAAAATCAATTTAAAAATATATATTTTTTTAAATATAATAAATGACTTGGGATGAAAGAGAGGAGGAACAGGTAAGGGAGATTGTTGTAGACTAAAAGAGACTTAAGACATACATCAACCAAATGTGGGTTTTGTTTGGATCCTGATTCAAATAAGGCAACTATGTATTTTACCTGTTAAAGATATATACCTAAGTTTTTAAGACTGAAATTACACAATTACTAGGATTTGCTTTTACATTATTCCCCAAAAAAGACAAAAACAATGTGGGGTTTAAATAGAAGAAGCAAGATGTTAATAAATGTTGATGGTAGATGCTTGGAGACTCATTATATTACTCTACCTTTTTTTTTCATGTTTGAAATTTTCCAAAGTAAGTTAAAATATACATAGAGTTTATCTTCCACATGGCCAAATGTTCTGCTAGGATCAAGCATTATTTTATACTCAGAAATACTAGTACTTGTTAAAATATAGACCCTGGAACCCCCCCTCCAAACGTCTGGGTCAGAATCAGAAGATTAGGCATAAAATGATCTGCTTCCCCCATGAGGCCAGTGCAGCTCAGCTAGGTATGCACCCAGCAGTTGACACTGCATGGTCCCTAGGCTAAGGCTGCACCAGCAACTCTGGGTGATGAGAGTCAAGCTATAGGGCTTTAAGGGATCAGTGCACAGTAAGGAATAGGATGCAGAGAAAGGGAATTCTGCCTGGAAGTGGTAGCATGAAGAAAGGGGGATGGGTGTAAAACAGACTTTTCCAGGATTAGAGACCTGGGCTGAGGGAAGAAGATACTCAAGAGAAAGACTAAAGATACGAGACAACTTGTTGGGGCTCCAGCCCCACCATGGCAGGAGAACAGGGAAGCCCCGCGGGAGAGGCTTGGTGTGGACAGCAGGGGGATGAAAGAGCGAGCATGGGTCCGGTTATGGAAGTGTGAAGAGTGGCACCCATGAGTATCTAGAAAGAGACAACTTGTTGGGGCTCCAGCCCCACGATGGCAGGAGAACAGGGAAGCCCCCTCGGGAGAGGCTTGGTGTGGACAGCAGGGGGATGAAAGAGCGAGCATGGGTCCGGTTATGGAAGTGTGAAGAGTGGCACCCATGAGTATCTAGAACTGTTGTCCCGAGCAGTAGCCATAAGCCACATGCAGCTACTGCACACTGAAACGTGGCTGGTCTGACTTGTGTGCTGTACCAATATGATGCACTGGACTTTGAAGATTTAGTAAAAAGAAAGCCAGGGTCCTAGCTGGTTTGGCTCAGTGGATAGAGCATCAGCCTTCGGACTGAAGGGTCCTGGGTTCGATTCCGGTCAAGGGCACGTGTCCGGGTTGCAGGCTCGATCCTCAGTAGGGGGCATGCAAGAGGCAGACAATCAATGATTCTCATCATTGATGTTTCTATCTCTCCCTTCCTCTCTGAAATCAATAAAAATATATTTTTTTAAAAAGAAAGCCAGGGTCAAATACCTCGTTGATTATTGTTATATTTATTACATGTTGAACCAATAATATTGGAATATTTAGAGTTAAAATATTATTAAAGTTTATTTTACCTGTTTCTCTGTTTTTTTAATGAGACGCCTGGGAAATATAAAATTACATAGAAGCTCTTATTTGAGGCTGACATGATATTTCTATTGAACAATGCTGACCTAGAGGCTATGGGAGCCAGAACTAGGAGGAAAAAGGCACCGAAAAGCCCCATCTCAGAAAATAACACCTCTTCCTACAGCCCCCAAACCTGCCTCATTCAGACCAAGGTTCAGCCTAATTAATGAAAAAAGTGCTTGCTAAGCCAACTAATTATTAATACAAATGAATTACAGTGGAAAGTGTATAAAGATAATTTGTTGTAAGACACCATGTACATATAGCAATTAAAGTGGTGAGTGCTTCTCCACTCATTAAGGCAGGCCCTCGAGGCCCTACAATGGGAAGAAAATCACCAGCCAGCAAGCTACCCAGAGGAAGCATGCGTAGAGCACCTAAGTTCTGAGGAGGATGCAGGCACAGGGTGGTGCCAATCTGGGCTTGGTATTACCCACCCTGGGAAGGAATGAGGGGGAAGTGAGCCAGGGAAGTTGGCTCTTTCCCCAAGTCGATGGTCTTCCTCCTGGTCCAGATTTGCATGCATTTCCACCCGGGTCTGTCCCCACTCCCCAGCTGTGAGTGGGCAGAGGTACTTTTCTGGGTGCCGCCTCCCTCCTCCCTCAGTGGTTCTGCCATCCATCAGATCTTCCTTCCTTCCCACCAGCCTCCTCTGTGGTATGTGGTCAGGGTGGTTTCCATCACACAGGCCACCTCTCTGTTTCCCAAAGATAACACAATCCGTGTGGGTGTTTGCTCGCTGGTGCTGTTATCTAAGATCAACACAGCGGTTCCTACCTCCAGAGGCCTCCAAGGTCAGGAAAAAGCAGAGGCTTCGTGTCTCGGTTGGTGCCTGGTCACCATAGTTGGGGTTTTGGGTGGTTTCCTTCTGGTGGGGGCGAGGGTGGCTGTGAACAAGCTGTGGGTCTTCTCCCCACCCGTCTCCACCTTCAGCCCTCTGGCCCTAAGCTCGGGTGGCTGTCAGGGGGAAGCCCCCGCCGCAGCTGGTGATGTTTTTCAGCAGGAGGTACTCAGTCCCTCACATTCTACTGAGGGGCTGTCCAGCCCCTCCTGGGCCTCCACTGTCCCGAGAGTCTCTACATGGGTCCTGTGCCCCCTGAAGTCAATCGTCAAGTCGGGTGGCATTTAACCATCAGCTGTTCTACTGCCTCAAGACCTCCCCCTAACTGGTTCTCTGCCCCAGGCCCACCCTGCTTGGAGCACACTGACTTTCCTGGAAGCAGGAAGGAGAGAGAGCACTGGATTAGGCTGGGTGGCTTTGGGGGAAGTTGTGTTTTTTCTTCCAGTGAAATAAAAGGTCCAGCATCCCAAGTCTTTAAGGCTTTCCAACTCGCTCATGATTCTATGCTCTGTCCCTCCTGTTAAAGACCCTTCAGCGGGCTCCCTCCTGCACATAAAGCCCACACTCCTTGTGCCAGCAGCTTTCGAGGCAGTGCAGAGCCTGACCCCAACTCCTTTGAGGCCTTTCTTTTGGCCTCCTCCCACCACCACCATCCTCCAAGCCACCCAGCCTTCTCACTGTTGTCCCCAACAGTCTACACCATGCCTCTGTTTGCTCCCATCACTCATGCCACTCTGCTTGCAGCGATGCCCTCCCTTCAAAGCCTGCTCCATTGCCACCATCTGCCTCTTGCACGGAGCCCCAGCCTGAAGTGAGCTCCTCCTGGGACTTTGATACAGACATTGCATTCAACCCTAGGAGTCACTGCTTGGGCATCCAATAGATGAAGCACTCGGACAGGTTAAGGTTAGTTAACCCTTCATCCAAGAACGTGTGACCATCACACATGCTTGGCACAAGGTCTTGGGCCTGATACAAAAATACTTGTCATCTGTACGCTGCCTTACAGATTATAAGAATCCTCAAAACCACTGAGAGGCAGCCCTGCCACAAGGGGGATTATTAGTGATCTGCCTAACGCCAACAAATTTGAGTAGTTAGTTGTGCCAATAGCAGGTCACAGCCCTTCTGCCTTCAGATCCAATCTGTTCCCTCAGAACTGGGCTGGGGGAGGGGAGGCAAGCCCACAAGAAACACCAAGCCATGCAGAGCCATCATGCCTCACCCAGGGGGAATGACTGAGGTTTAACCACTGATTAAAATGATCCCTACACCTGCTCCTTAGAGGACAGTTAGGAGCTCATGCTGCCGACCCTCCGAGCAGTTTCCTCATCTGTAAAGAGGGACTTCCCTCACTGGGGAGGCAGAATTACATGAGCCAGGCTCCCTTGTGCTCCAGAGGCTTGTGGGAGCCAGAGCAGCGTCAGTCACAGAACTGCAGGGGCAGGACTAGAAAGCTTAGAAAGCTAATGACGGTAAACTCGCTCTATCCAGGGCGGAGGGAGTTCAGAAAGTAGTGAAGACTACAGTCATGCCACCCTGAACGCGCCCAATCTCATCAGAAAGTCGTGAGATCTCACAGAGCAGCAAAGCCAGCCTGGACCCCCCCTCCTCCCTCCCACCGAAACCAGGGCCAGGGCCATCTGTGGACAGCTGGAGCAGATGGCCACCCCAAGCCAACCCAACAATCTCTCTGGGCATTTAACCTCCATTGTTGATTTCTACCCAGAGGACCAAGGAATGTAAATCAGCCCCTGGAAACTAGGCTGCCCTGAGATGAGGTTGCTGGTTTAAAACAAACACAAGGCTTCCTATATAAGGACCAGCCAGCCACCAGGCGTCACCTCCGCCAGGAATCCCAGGTAGGCACCCTCTCTCACTCTGTGGGTTTGCTTATGGGTTTAACTTACTGGCCGTTCACAGGCCCATCTGAACCAAGGGGAGGTTGCACAAGCTGGGGCAGCCTGGTTGCTCAGACATAACTGGGCTTAGGTCTCCTGGGGATCTTGCTGGGTCAGCTTCATCACCTGTTAAGAAGCTTGGCCAGGTCTTTGGGGGCTGAGGCAAACACATGGGGAATCCACTGCCAAGGGGTCTGCCCTGAACAGTCTTGGAAGAGAACACAGACATCCTTCAATTCATTCTGCCTTAGGCAGCGGGGAGAGCTGCCATCCCAGGTCAAAGCCCTGTCTGCTAGGCTCCTACCTGCATTCTGAGGCGCTGGGAGGGCAGTGGATGCGAAGGGAGAGGAGGGGGAGCGTGTTAACTGGAGACTCTCTTCTCTAGGCCCATCTGTCCCAAGCCAGCTGAGGCCATGCCTTCCCCGGGGACCATCTGCAGCCTGCTGCTCCTCAGTGTGCTCTGGGTGGACTTGGCCATGGCAGGCTCCAGCTTCCTGAGCCCCGAACACCAGAAAGCGCAGGTGAGATTCTCCCCACGAAGCCCCACATTCTGACGGGGCATCTCATTCCAGCCCTGCCATAGCAGCCAGCTGTGTGACGTGGGCAGTGGCTCAACCTCTCTGGGCAGCCTTCACAGAGAACACAGAGGGCCCTGGGTCTGACTTACAGGCCCCGCCTCTCTCTGCTCTGGAAGGATATGGGGGCTTAGGGCCCTAAAGAAAACTCTCCCTCCAGCAGAGAAAGGAGTCCAAGAAGCCACCAGCCAAACTGCAGCCCCGAGAGCGAGAGCTCGAAGGCTGGCTCCGCCCAGAAGACGGAAATCGGGAGGAAGGGGCAGAGGATGAGCTGGAAATTCGGGTTGGTTCCTCTGTAGTTTTATGCTTTTGTGGTGGGGGAGGGGATGAGGGAAGGGGAAGGCAGGGGTTGATAGCATGAACAGGGGTCCACTTACCAGCATGAAAATAGTTGACTGCACTGTGTTCTATGAGGTCTGTGCCCATGAAGAGGCAAATATCTAAGAGAAGTAACTTTGCTACCACAGAATGGGAACGTACAGGAACCATGAGCAGAGGAGAGAGGGGACGCTAGCAGGCGCCAGATATTTTCAAAGGGTGCAGCAAAAGGGGTGCCCAGAGAAAGATACCCAGGTAGACATAGCTGGTCGTAGACTGAAGGTGTTTCCCCGCAGAAAACATTCCAGTTGGCCCAGGGCCTCTCAGACCTCACCTGGGCTGCAGTGCGCCCAGACCGCATCCTGGCCGGCAAGCTGCTGCTGGCTGGGCTGCAGGGCCCACTCGCTGAAGCCCATCTGCGGATGAAGACAGACCAGCCAGGCTTGCCCTGGCTCTGGCTAATCTTGCCTGAGATAAGGAAATAGTTTAGAGATAAATGGAGGACTAGGAAGGGGGGGACTAGGGGGGCGGGGAGAGAAATGGGTTTCATAGGGTCATCCAGGTAACTTTCCTGAAAGGCTGGCTGTGTGTGGTTAGCGGACGGTTCTGACAAGATTTCGGTGGCGACAGACACCTCCATGCAGAGAAACCAGAATTCCCTGGATGGTACTTAATACTCAACCATGGCAGTTACTGAGCTGCTGGGAGCTGGTATCATTGCCCTCATTGATTAGAAGTTCAGACAATGTACTTGCCTGAGATGCCACAGCCAGAGGGCGGCAGCGGTAAAACTGAAGGTCAGGGCTGAGTCAGTCCCCAAGTCCGCTCTTCCTCCTTACGGTCTGACAGAGGGAGTGCCTCTCACTCTCTCTGGCCTGAGAGAAGCTGAAGTGTGTCCTGCCTTGGCCTTTCTCTAACCACCCACCAGCCACTTCTCCTGTCAGGGATGAGCTCCCCAACCCATGCTTTCTCTGACCCTCTGTAAACCTAAAGGTGTTCTCAGGCACTTCCTCCGTACCACCTGGGACATCCTCAGCCCACCACATCCGCACTCGAGGCCGTAAATGAAAACCAGGGAACTCTCTTAGTGAGGTTGCCAGCTCCCGCCAGCATGTACTCACCCAGCTGGGGTCACTCTAAATTAGCCCAGATGGGGAAGAGATTTCAGTGGCGGCTGATTCAAGGCAGGGCTGGAAGTTTCTAGTTTCCACAAAGGCTGGCCTCAGAAGAAACGGCCCGGGCTGCCTCAGCTAGAACTAGAAGTCTGAAATGTCTGGGAGGTGGTGCAGCCGTAGGAGACGGGTGGGGCAGGAGGCCAGCAACACCTTCCGGAAGCCCCTCCCATCCTAGGGCTCCACCTCTTTCATCCCAGAACCCCCACTTCCTTCAAACATTTTCCTCCTAAAATCTAGTTTCAGAACTTGAATATTTTTCAAACCAAGTCCTTCCCACTCCCCTACCCCACCCATCTCCCACTGAACAGATGAGACGCCGAGGCCAAGAGTCTTGTCAGGTCACCTGAAGCTCATCTCCCACCCACCAGTCGCCACGCCGCCTCTCAACTGCCCCTGCCACCCAGTTCCAGCCAGCAAGTCCCTAAGAAGTCTGTTCCAGTGATCTGACCACCCCAATTAGCCACGGGGGGTGGAGGGGATGTATCTTTGAATCTTTATTGAAGGGAGATAACGGGAGGGTCCAAGTTCCCTAAAAAACCAATCATGCCATTCCTCATACTCTCCACCTTCACAGTGAAGACAGTGGGGAAGGCAAATTGTTTTAAAGGAACAAACAGCCATTTGTTGCTTTAATAACTTCTCTGAGCAGTTCGCTCATCTGTAAAATAGGAGTCATAGTGGCACCTGGGCGCTGCCACACCCCTGGGGCTAGCAGAGGTCCCGGGACTGGTGGACTTAAGAATCCTGCATTCTAGTCCTTGGCCACCAACTCCTCTGAGGCTTCAAACAAGTCCTTTAACCTCTCTGGGTCTCAGCTGCTTTCTCTGAAAATGGGGGTAACACCTCCTGTCTGGAGTGTAGTGGGCAGAAGGACCAATGACCAGGGGTTCTTTCCAGCATCAAGAGTCCTCCACTGACCCATGGAGGTGTTCAGACATCTCAGTGACCAACATGGCCAGGTGCTGAGGCAGTTACTGGATGAACAGAGATAAAGATTCAGTCTCTGGTCTCAAGGGAGAAAACAATGATGTGGCTGCAAACACAGCTCTTTCCTGTTTCCCCAAAGCTTTTAGTGACAGTAAATCACCTCACAGATTGCCAAGCAGGGAAAATGGTGCACTCTCCCTGCAGAAGGAAAAAAACAGAAGCCGAGAAAGAAGGAACTTAGCTCTAGGAAAAGGTTAGCTTCCTGCCTGCACTGAACAGAGGCCAGTGCATATGAGAAAAAGCACCTGGGAAAGGAGAGGTGAGGGCAGTGAAGGGGGCAGAGACCATCACGTAGGCTAGTGCTATGTACACCAGGTAAGCCCACTTCCCCCAAACCTCCCTGCCAGGGCCTGAAATTCCACCATTGTGATTCAACATTGTTTTCAAAAACTGCACGGCAGGGAGGGGGGCTTGCTAGGGGACACCGCAGCTTTTACCTTAGCGGTAAAGGAAGAGTGTCAAGGTTAGCCTCCTAAAGATGGAGGGGGCAAAAGGAATGGGCATACAAAGAAGAGAACTGAGCTATCCCTCGGTGCACCTGCTGGGCCCATAGGCCCTTTCCCTCTCTGACCCTTTGGGATGAAGTGTTTGGGGCAAGGGTGTGGGAGCATGGAACCTCTGACATTTCCTGGGTCCTCCCTACTCTCCTCCTAGTTCAACGCCCCCTTTGATGTTGGAATCAAGCTGTCAGGGGCTCAGTCCCACTGGCATGGCCAGGCCCTGGGGAAGTTTCTTCAGGACATGTTTTGGGAAGAAGCCAATGGTAAGTCCCTGCCCGGGTCAGGTCAATTCAGAGTTTTCTCAGAGTCCCAAATGTGAGCCCACATTACGGGTGACACAAGAAAAGTTCTCTTCCCTGACCCCTGCCTCTCAAAGAGCTTCTAATTCCTCGTTCCCAAATAGCGGCAGGAGTGGGCGGGGCTGGTATTTGAGTGGCTCCGAGGGTGTTGAGCCCAGTTTTTGTATTCAAAGAGGGTACTAAGTTCTGAGAACTAGCTTTGGAGCCCCAGTGAACCCCAATTTCCGCAACCATAAAATGGAGCTAACACCCCTAATAGAGTATAAAATTATTTGATGTTAGAACACCTTTACTGTATAATTTTACTTCACAAACAACAGGAATTAGTGCTACAATTGCATTCAGAAGAATGGGCTCCACAGCCAGTTAAGCAAAGTTTTTTCTGTTTTTATTTGAATTCCCTCTTACCTTGTAAAGAAACCACTCAACTTTCCCCTGATCAAGGCCACTGGAAGCACCTTACAACCTGCAAAGCACTTCTGTCACCAACATGGCATCACCTAACCCATCCACTACTCGAGGCAGACAGAGAATCGCACTCACCCTTCCATGCAGATAAGGAGACCAAGACTCCGAGCTTTTAGTGACTTGCCCAAGTCACAGCCCAAGGCTTCCCCCATTACAAGACACCACCTCACCAGTCACCACTGTGTAAGAAAACCATCTTTGATGGCACTGGCCAGATAGCAGACTCAGAATTTTGACATCTACACCCTTGCTTTTCAGAGGTCCCAGCAGACAAGTGACCATCCACAGGACGGGCCCACCTCTTTGTTTTCCTACTACCCTTAGAAGTGCTCACCGTGGCTTTTAGATTGCTTCTACAACTCCCAGCTCTGAGTGGTACTAGCTTAGGAGCTGAATAAATATTCAAAATGTGTGCTAAATGTTCATAATGAGAATTATTTCACCAAAGAGGAAAATGTCACTGGAAAAATAAGTCTTGTTCTATGGTCAATGGAAAGAGAAAAGAAGGATATGTAGCAAGGCAGGTGTGCACACTCAGAAAACCACACTAGACCACCTCATACAAGCAGATAGACTACTGGGTGTGTGTGCCAGAAGAGGAGTGGAGGAGAGAGAGACAAAGAATAAGAAAGAGGGGAAAGGGAAGAGAGGGGAGAAGAGGATAGGGAGGGGAGAAAGAAAGACACAGTTCCTTTAAATATCAAAGTGCAACGTTGCAATGAGAGCTTATTATCAAGGACTGTGTGGCCCTAGCTGGTTTGGCTCAGTGGATAGAGCAGTGACCTGTGGACTGAAGAGTCCCGGGTCTGATTCCTGTTAAGGGCACATGCCCCAGTTGCGGGCTCACTCCCCAGTAAGGGGCGTGCAGGAGACAGATCAATGATACTCTCTCATCATTGATGTTTCTATCTCTCCCTCTCCCTTACTCTCTGAAATCAATATATATATATGACTGTAGGGACAAAGAAAGTACGGGTGACACTATCAGAGCTAAAATCTATTAAACACATTCAAGATCAGAACAGGATTCTGGGAATGCCAAAGCATGAGTCTAAAGTTATTAAGTGGGTGCTAACAATGGCTTCTAGCCACTGCTGGGAAGGGCTTCCTCTTTGTTCACTACTGAGAAGCCCAGCAAAGTAGATACCAACTCATATAGGCAAGGCAGGCCACTGCCTTCATTACTTCACTGATACCTGGTAGTTGTCCCACATTTCCAACTCCAGCTCACAGCTGAATCGAACCTTGGTCCTTAAGTTCCACAATTTAATTCCAGGGAAGACACCAGCCTTCCTAGGAGGAAATGTCACCTATCAGTCATTTACACTTTAGCATAAACATGCAAACTGGTTTCTGAACGCTGGTGATGATGGGTGAATCAATAGGAGAGAAAAGCAAACAAGGAGGGAGATTCCAAAGAGATGCACTGCCAGTCAGACACATGATCCCCTAGAAATATGTAGGGCACCCCTCTGCAGAGTTGGGGTAACACCCACACTGGAAAAAACTACCACAGAGGGCTCGAGAAGCCAAGTATCTTCTTGAGTAAAATTTTGGCCACCTGGCACTCAAGGCACAGCCCTATAGGTACCAACCACTGGTAGACGTAGTAGGCACACTGAAACCCAACTGCCATTGATCATCCAGGAACTCCATGTGATCTGTGGATCACCTGGGAATTCCTTAGAAATGCCATCTTGGGCCCCATCCCTGCCCTACTATATCAGGATCTGTACTTCAACAAGATCGCAGGTTATTAAATGGCTTCTATAAAGTGGCTTAGAGGGAACTGGACTCTACTCAGACGGCACAGCACACTGCAGCCAGATTGCCCCGCCTGGCATACAATAGGTGTCGATTGTTATAAAACTTAAAAAAAAATTGAGACCTGGCCAGGTGGGACCCTCAACAGAACTGTGAACACATGAAAAAGGTGTCCTGTTTCTTCTCTCTTACCTTCTTCCCCATCGATTTAGTCCCAGCTCTACTGTAGACTCTGTCGGGCAGATGGCAGACCACACACACACACACACACACACACACTCCCATCTCTTTGATGACCAGACACCTGATTATATGACTACACAGTGACTTCACTGAGTCTTTGCTTTCAAAAGCATCTTCATCTAAGCCACAGACCGAAACATGTTATCACCATTAAAGGAACTTAAGGTATTGGAGAACAGATGAACTAAGTGGGGGGAGTGGAAGAAATAGAAATGGAGGGAAATGACCTTCTACAGCCCAGATAGCCAGCTCCCTAGTACTGAGGTCTAGACTGACATGCTGCCCTGAAGCTTAGCCACATCCCAGTTCCATTGTTTAGTGGGGGCACAACCCTGATCACCCTAACCACACCCACAGCCCTCTTCTTAACAGCTAGAGAGGATGGAAGGTCCAAGTGTGATCAAATTGACCCAGGAAACCAGCTGCTGACCTGGGGAAGCAACAGCCATGGATTGGGCTGGGGGCAGTGCTTAGGAGGGGGATGTGTACCAGACCCTGGTGGGAATGCTGGTCAGCTCCATCCCATCAAAAAAAAGAACAAAGACTTACTTTTCTCTCAAAGGACTCACAAGCATTCTCTGCCACTTGCCTGTGTCATTCATTAAAAAAAAAAAAAATTTTTTTTTAACATTTTTTAAGCCCACTCTGGACTGGGCAATCTCACCTGGGGCAGGCCCATGATGTGGTTGAGAGCTATGGGCTAGACTCAGACCTGAATTTGAAGACCAGTTCTGATCCAGACCAGAATATTGAATTTCTCAGGTTCCTCAAATTAAAATACCCACATACCTGGGTTACTATAGAGACTGAACACAGTATCTCCCTCAAGGACACCTGGCACATAATAGACATTCAACTATTCTAATCATCATCACTTACTTCTTCCCTGCAGTGCACCAGGCGTTGTTCTAAATACTTGTAAGTAGTTAATGCAATTTCAGCTAATTTTCACAAGCTACTTCGGAGGGAGGAAACTGAAGTTTGGAGAAATTAACTTTCCAAGGTCACACAGCAAATACATTGCCCACTCATATCCAGAGCTATAGTGGTTGAGTCCATGCGTTTCAAAGTCTACTGCCTCTCAATGGTATTTTCTTGCCCTGCTGCCTTGGGTCCAAGGGATTTCTTTTATTTTTTAAAGTAAAATTTTTTTAAAAAAATAGTTTATTGACCTTTATTTTTTTAATTTTTTAAATATATTTTATTGATTTTTTACAGAGAGGAAGGGAGAGGGATAGAGAGTTAGAAACATCGATGAGAGAGAAACATCGACCAGCCGCCTCCTGCACACCTCCTACTGGGGATGTGCCCGCAACCAAGGTACATGCCCTTGACCGGAATTGAACCCGGAACCCTTCAGTCCGCAGGCCGACGCTCTATCCACGAGCCAAACCGGTCTGGCAGTTTATTGACTTTTAGAAAAAGAAGGTAGAGGGAGAGAAACATTGATGTGAGAGTGAAACATCGATACGCTGCCCCTCCTGCATGCCGAACCAACAACCTTTCAGGGCTTGTTTCTGTTTTTTTTTATTTTCCTTCATAATACACTGGGTCAACTTCAAGTCAACAACTGGCAGAAATAAAACATCAAAGGAGACAAGGGACACACTTGAAAAAATGTAGCATTTCAAACAAGGTCCTATGTCACCCTTCTTAAACCTATTCCTCTAACATTATTTAATGATACCACTAACTTAAGGTTCTCTGAATGGGGTGTATTTACCCTTGGGGTGAACAAGAAATTTGTTGAAGGAGTGCTCGCTTCGGCAGCACATATACTAAAAGAAATTTGTTGAAGGAAAAAAATTCTCCTCATAAGAAGCTTATTTTGTGTTTTAGGATATACCTAGTATACCAGTATACTAGCACATGTATTTAACTCATCATACACTTACAGGTGTGTGCTCAGAAATTCCCTTATGGCAACATGTAAACAGAAGAATGGGGACCCATGCTTAGCTACCTTCCTTAATCTGAATCCACTCCAAATGAACACTGACAGGGACCACAGGGCTGGCTAGCCACTGATCAGCAGTTCTGCTGCCATCTTTGTTTGAGTTTGTTTAATCACTGAATATTTCAGTGGCCATTTGCCCTTACTTTATAAAATGAGTGGCATAAAAATGAAGGTCCTGACAGCAAATGATTAGTATTAGTCCCAACTCAATACAGAAAGAAAGATGTAAACACCAGCAACACCAAGAGCAACAGATTTTCAGCCACAAACCGACTATCACTGAGTAGACAGAGTCAACTGTGTGTTCAACTGGAAAGGAAACTGAACCAAAGTGAAGGAATATGCTGAAAATGCAGTCAATGACTGTGTCTCAAAGATGATGCATTAACAGAGATTTCAAATTTGTTTAACATTCTCGCAGCAGAGCCTTCCTTTTTCCAGGTTTACTTTTGGCTTGTGCGTTTGTGTTCAACAATACCTCCATAAAAATTAGAGGATTGAGTTAATACATGTGCAAGTAGTGAAATAGAATGTGCTCCAGTCTACCTAGAGGCATCAGTTCAGTCCAAAAACAGTACAACTGATTCATCAGTACCACACCTGTGTACTCGATATTTCTTCCTCTTACTGCACTGCTCTGGAAAAAGAAAAGAATGTATCTATATAGTTTTCAAAGGCTAGGAAGCAGCAGTATATCTGAGTTCCCAAAGTGTAAGATAAAAGTTAACGCTCAGCCCTGATCGGTTTGGCTCAGTGGATAGAGCGTCGGCCTGCGGACTGAAGGGTTCCGGGTTCGATTCCGGTCAAGGGCATGTGCCTTGGTTGCGGGCGCATCCCGAGTGGGGGGTGTGCAGGAGGCAGCTGGTCGGTGTTTCTCTCTCATCGATGTTTCTAGCTCTCTATCCCTCTCCCTTCCTCTCTGTAAAAAATCAATAAAAAATATTAAAAAAAAAAAAGTTAACGCTCAAAGGCAGCAGAACTTTTAAGAAGATACCATGTCTTACTTATCTCATGCAATTTTGCAGAGGCACATGTATACTCGAGAATGTCAGACCTCTGGGATCGCAGGTTTCGAAGTCGGCCACCAACTGAACCACTGTTCTCATTCTGAGAACTCTAAACAAACGTGGAGAGCATGGGAGTTGGCTGGGAATCTATCCCTTTATTTTCAGAAACTGATGGGTAGGGGTAATACAGAGGCATTCCAGCAGCACAGCAAAAACAATCAAGTCAGCCATCCAACATCAAAAACATTGCCAACCAGCTTTCACACCACAGCACAGAAGTAATCCTAAATCCTAGAGATAAAAGTGTATAGCACCTTGTGCGTTACCTTGGCAGGAAGACTGCATAGGCTCTGAGATATCCATTTAGTCATCCCTTTAACCCTTTAATGCAGGACTAGTTGGTTTCCCATGTAGGCAGTACTGACATACAGGGCTTATGAAGGAGATATATATGCTGTTCATTTGGATGACAATGAAACACTCTGAAATATTTAGCAGTTCCCCAAATCTTCCAAACAGGAGAACGAGCCCCCAGTTCCCCACACTGGCAAACATGAGGCACAAACAACGCACAACTAATCCATGGAAGGTCAACAGGGAATCAAGGCCCACTTCTCAGGCCAGCAACTGTGCACAGGGGCAAAACAGAAATACCATCTAGAAAAAATGTTAAGCCCATTTCCTTTTAACTTACAAGGCTCAAATGCACCTTCCAAAATCACCTAGAGAAATCCAGCATTAAGTGATGGATTTTATGATGTAAGCCACCAGGTTCCAAGAAACACACAAGGAATTCGGTGGCCTGTCTCACTGCAGATTGGGGTAAAGGATCCTTTTGGACAAAGTGCAGTGTCCTTACATTTACCCCGTGACCATTATAACCTCCCAGGGCCTGTAATGAATATACCTTTACAAGGCACCAGCAGGAAACAGAACACAGCTTAAAATCTGAGTTGACCCCAGATGCTCAAAAGTCAAAGGAGAGGCTCTCATTTCCAACACAGAGAAAGGACACAGAGGAGGCAAAGGCAAGGGAGACCACCCAGAGGGGGAATGAGAGATTTACAGACATCAGGCCTGCTTGTTGGGCAAAGGCAACAGAACATGGCCGAGTGACCCCAGCAGAGCTTTGAAGAAGTAAACTGATTTACCTCTTAACCTGGGAGGGACACACAAGAGGCTGTCATATGCAATGAAAAAGTATGAGTATTTCTGGTCCAGTGTTCCAGGGAAAGAGGGCAAAATGGAACGAAGGGCAGCTGGGACCTCACCAGCAGACTAGCAAGTAGCTTTTGCTACAGGCTGGACCTTGATCAGTTTAACACAGCCGAGCTGCAGCCCTGGGGCATCAGTAAGTAGAAACACCTTCTTTGGGGTCCTCTTCCTCAAGAAGGCCTCTTCCTTGAGTTCCCCATTCTGTCCAGATCTCCATCAGCCAGGAATTTCCCTGGACAATGCGTGCCTTTCTGCCCCCTCTGTATTGATGGCAATGGAACCAGTGAAACCAGTAGTCGAGTCCTTCCACCTGTGCCGATGCAGAGTTGACACAGCGACAGCCACACTGAAGAGTTATCCATGGAAGAGAAGGGGATGACTCCTTTGGTTGCAGGGGGGTGACTTCACCGGTCTCCAGCAAAGATCCCCCATAGATTTCTCACTGGGAGCTCATTCTCAGAACTGAGGACCAGGAACCAAGTTACACACCAACATGGGCTTAGACTAGTAGGAGGGTGACTTTATTCGCAGACTGCTCAAAAACACAGGCTGCAGAGAACAGAGATTTGGATTGGCAAACTTGTTGCACCCTTCTACTAGTATTTCTTCCTCCCTGACTGCCCTGGAGCATGTGGCCAGGAGGCAACCCCCCTTCCTGCTCCCCACTCCCCTCTCCACTGAACCTCCCTACCCATAGCCAAGATCAAAAGCCTGATGATGAAGTTTCAAGGAAAATATCCTGTTTCCTATCTTGGTTTTCTCCATTCCAATGGGCTCTCTAAACACACCCTTGTCCTGGACCCAGGCAGAGATGAAACCCAGCCTATGCTGTTAGGTCACTGGTCGTCCTGGAGGGTAGAGAAGAGAAAAGAAAGAAGGTTTCAAACCAAGTTCACTCAAGACAAATCAGGCTACTCTCTACATTAATAAAATGCAGCAAAAAAAGCTTCTGTCCCAATTTTTAAAAACATAAATGTAAATTTTATGACCTTTTATAGAAAACTCCTGCACTCTCTCTGCTTAAAGATTGTAGAGGCGACTGGTGTTCTCACGCAAGGTAGCCAAGGTGCGGGACAGCGGTTGATCTTTGACCCTGGCAATCTCTCGAACTGTATGCAAGGCCAGACCCGGGTGGGCATACTGGCAAAGACTTTTGGGAACCTGGAAGATATCAAACATTCAGAACATCGCTGTGCTGTCTGCGCACAGTCATTACACAGAGCTCCCTCCCCGGCCCTTCCCCAGTAAGGACCTCTTTGGGGCTGCCCTGTAGAGACCCCTTTACCTGCAGGTGCAGGGAGAGTCCTAGTCATGGGGGGCTCTGGGTGAGCAGGGTCCCACGCTTCCTTGGACTACCCTCTACAGGGTAGGGCTTTGCACTGCCTGGAAGAGAGTGGTTACCCTTCAGCTTCTCAGCCCCCTAGACTTTTGGTTCTGCAGAGCAATACAAGGAGACATCTATATAGCCAAGGGTGGGACCTGGATATCACTGGGGCTCTGGCCCTGCCAACCTTGTCATGGTGACCGCCCACCTCCCCACCCTCTCCTCAGTGCCTCAACTCAGCCTGGAGACACCCCTACCTGTCGAGGCAGGAAGTAGGGGGCATCAGTTTCCACGATGATTCTCTCCAGCGGGATCTGTTTCAGAGCTTCCCGGGCCTCCCAGGCAGAGGAGTACGTCAGGACTGCCGTGAAGCCCACAGACATGTTTGGGAAGTGCTTCAGCAGGGGCTCGATGACCGGGTAGCTGCCAGTGAAGCAATGCCTGAGAGGAGAAGTCCAGATCAGCGCTCTCTCACAATCACCTGGGCAGCAGCCCCAACTCCCTCTAGACATATAACCCCTTTTAAATTATTTTCTGTGGATAAATATCCAGAAATGTAAAGCTTGCATCCAAAGGAAGGACTCCACAGTAAACACAGACAAGAGCTGGTTTCAATACAGTAAGACCCAAGATGATTCCTGGTGAGCAATGCTCATCCATCAACCCATTACACCGCAGAATACTAAACAGCCACTTAAAATAATTACCAGGAACATACAGCAACAATACAGGGACAGGGTATGCTTATGACACAAAAAGAGAAGCAGAATTTAAAACTGTGGCCCCTTTAATATTACAACTACAGTAGGTAAAAATTATGTCCATGCAGTCAAATGAACTCAAAGGAAACAAAAAAAATACATCAAGGAGTGAGACTATGAATGAATTTTCTTCTCTTAATTTGAAGGCTGTTCACATTCCATGTTCATAATATAATAAATATAATAATAATTAAAATATAGCCCTAACCGGTTTGGCTCAGTAGATAGAGTGTCGGCCTGCGGACTGAAAGGTCCCAGGTTCGATTCCGGTTAAGGGCATGTACCTTGGTTGCAGGCACATCCCCAGCAGGAGGTGTGCAGGAGGCAGCTGATTGATGGTTCTCTCTCATCGATGTTTCTAACTCTCTATCCCTCTCCCTTCCTCTCTGTAAAAAAAATCAATAAAATATATTTTAAAAAATATAATATAATATAATATAATCCTATCCTATATAATAAAAGGCTAATATGCAAATCGACCAAACAGCAGAACAACTGGTGCTATGACGTGGACTGACCACAAGGGGTCAGATGCTCAACACAGGAGCTGCCCCCTGGTGGTCAGTGCGCTCCCCACTCAGCCAGAAGCCAGGCTCACGACTGGCGAGCACAGTGAAGGTGGCGGGAGCCTCTCCCGCCTCCGCGGCAGCACTAAGGATGTCTGACTGACAGCTAAGGCCTACTCCCTCAGGGATATCCTCCAAAGGCTCCCGGACTGAAAGGATGCAGGCCAGGCTAAGGGACCACACACCCCCCCACAGTACACAAATTTCGTGCACCAGGCCTCTAGTATAGTGTGTGTGTGTGTGTGTGTGTGTGTGTGTGTATAAAATCAATCTGGAAATTCAGGCCTTCCTCCAGCCACAACACCTTGTTGGACCATCCTAGCCTCCTTCAACCTACAACCAGTCATTAGAATTCCTTTACAGTCAGCCCAAAATAAAGCAATGAAAAACCAACAAACCAACCAGAAGGGCCAAGTGACTATGCCTCGTCTCTGATGTGTGCCACCAGTCAGAGGTCAGAGACTTCACTCTCTGCTTGGACCCCCAAAAGGCAGCAGCTTAGAGGCCTGACAGGCCCACCCATTTCTACCATCTGTCAAGACCTGGTTTGGATTCTAGACTCCCTGCTTTTTTCAGTTAACTCATCTCACCCATCTTGATAGAACCAGCCCAGGCATTGCCTCCTGATCCCTTTAGAGCCAGGCTTAGCTAATGGCCCCTGTTCTGGTTCTCACGGTACCGTATGCCCACCTCAGACCCACACTCTCTACAGTAGAGAAGTAACCAGCTGACTCACCAGTCTCCCACAGCTAAACCAACAGCCAGGACAGGTACACAGTAAGAGATCAGGGAGTATGTCAAAGTGAACTTAAGAACCTCTAGATACTATTCACATCCTGTACTTTAATGAGCTTTCAAATTCAAAAAAGAAAAGAAAATTTCTTTTCAGGTGCCCTGGAATCTTCTGTGTGCTAAGTCACCGGACTCCACAGCAGTCTTTCCCGAAATCAAGAGCCCTCATTTCTGAAAACTGAGACTCCATTCTCGCCTGCCACCGGGACAGAGGTCACAAAAGCCCCTTTTTTGCTTACTGATGATTTAGGGTATTAGCTCAAACCATATGAAGTTGCAGTTTAGTAAGTAAAAAATGGTTAAATAACAGAAATTTCATATGGTTCAACCTAATATTTAATCTTTAGTAAAGATACTACATAAAAACATAATAGTATCTATGCTCTCCTACTGAGTTTTCGTTTTTCCAACTAACAGCCTAGACCAGTGGTCGGCAAAATGCAGCTCGCGAGCCACATGCGGCTCTTTGGCCCCTTGAGTGTGGCTCTTCCACAAAATACCAACTTCTGCGCATGGGCCACGAAGTTTCAATCGCACTGTACATGCGCGCCCACACATGGTATTTTGTGGACGAGCCACACTAAAGGGGCCAAAGCGCCGCATGTGGCTCGCAAGCCGCAGTTTGCCGACCACTGGCCTAGACAGAGGAAGCATTCGTTTCATTTGCCCACTGAAGCTCCCGCCTAACCTATGGATCTTGTAGTCTGAGGGCACAAATTTTTTCATGATGCTCAGCAGATCTTCATCAGCTTCTCGGCAGTGAATCACCAAGGGCTTCTTTAGAGACACGGCCAGCCGCAGCTGTCTCTCAAATACCTGGGAGAAGACAAAGTGACAATACGTGCAGGTTAGGGCCACTTCAGAAGTCTGTTACCTCCAGAACACCTAGTCCAATGGGCAGATCCACTGTCTCAAACTCTGTGTTTTTAAACTATAATGTTCAGTAACAGTAAGACTTAATAGGTCTTACTAAAGAGCCAGGTAGTACTCAAAGCACTTAAGGTACATTATGACCTACATCCCTCACAAGCACCCTAAGTTAAGTACTGCTCTTAGCCCATCCTGCAGTTGAAAAAACTGAGGCTCCAAGTGAAGTCAAGTAAGCTGCAGCTGAGAAGCTGTAGTGCCACCAAATCTGAACCCAGGCAGTCCACATAGCAACCACTATACAAGGCTTATTTGGGATTGCAGGGGCAGAATGGGGCTCAGGAACAGAAAGTACAAGCTAAATGTCCTTCCCCTCATTCTCCCCAGCTCTACTCCCAAGAGGTAATTACCTTCTACACCTTTTCCTATACATACTCAATATCAATGCCTGGTTTTCAGATAAATACTATACATATTTTCTTTACTCAACCAAAATCAGATATTCTTCCAGGTGAATACCTACAGATATGATATATTCTTTTTATAAAACTCTAGCTATTTTTAAACCTTTATTAATAAAATACACATACTGTTAATGATTTCAATGAAAAAGTAGGGCTAGGCCTTAATTTTTCCTCAAGTCCAGGTTTAGAACAAACGTATTAATTCATTATAAACAAATTACCTCGTCTTAAACTTAATGTTTTCATAAGTAGTTTTTTTTCAATTGTGGAATATAATTCATTTTGTATTTTTTACATCAAATAGTACCATGCTTTTGGTAATTTGAGTCAGGTGATACTCACTTGAGAATGACACTTTCGAGTCTAACACTTGTGCTACCTCTTCTCATAACAGAAGCACTGAGCCAGTACCAATTCTAATGTAACTCTTGTTTAACCTGTGTGTTCAACTAAAGGAAAATGACCGAAAGAACCAAAATCACAGAATGCTTGGTAGGCGCTTTAAAGATGGGCTAGTTCCAATATCTATAGCTGGCTGGATGCCCTCCTGAACACATCAGCCCTCCTTGAACCTCTACAGAGGCAGGCAGTTGCAAGAGATTATAATTCCAATGTTGAATTCCTGCTTCCAAAATATAATTCTTTAGGGCAGTAAAACTAGTACAGTTCTTTGGGTGGACTATGACACAAATGATAAAAAGCATATTTTTCAAAGTATATTTAATAAAAGAGAACATGTTCACAAGTGGAAAAATCATTCAAAACGATTACTTTCGCCCAGGCAGCCTGATTCATCGGTTGAACGTCAATACATGAACCAGGAGGTTATGGTTCGATTCCCAGTCAGGGCACATGCCTGGGTTACGGGCTCAATCCCCAGTGTTGTGCATGTAGGAGGCAGCTGATCAATGATTCTCTCTTATCACTGATGTTTCTATATCTCTCTCCCACTCTGAAATCAATAAAAATATATTTTAAAAAAGGAAAATATATTTTTTTAAGTTTCAAAATGATTATTTCTTTCTTTTTAACTTCCTAATTTCTTATTTTAAAAGCATGTACATACAACACATATTTCCTTGATTCTATGACAAGTGCTTATAAAACATGCCACCGGGGGAGGGGGGTTAGAGAGCAACGAAAGGACTTATATGCATGCATATTAGCATAACCAATGGACACAGACACTGGGGCGGTGGGGGCTTGTCCGGGCTGGGAAGGGATAGGGGAGGGGGTCAATTGAGGAAAAAGGAGACATATGTAAAACTTTAGACAATAAATAAATAAATAAACAAATTAAATTAAAAAATAAAACATGCCACCAATTTTCCCTTGCAATTCTCCAAGGGACAATGACATTAAAAATATAATATTTGGCCCTCGCCAGGTAGCTCAGCTGTTTGGAGCATCGTCCCATACACTAAAGGGTCACTGTTAGATTCCTGGTCAGAGCACATACCCAGGTTTTGGGTTTGATCACTGGTCCGGGCACATATGGGAGGCAACCGATCAATGGATGTTTCTTTCTCTCTCTCCCTCTCTCTCTCAAAAAAATAAATTAAATTAATCAATAAAACCATACCCTCAGGTGAGGATTAAAAATAAATAACGTTTTGTAAAACATCTGAATTTCATAAATGTTAGTTAAGATAGAAGAATTGTTAGTAGGCAGGAGCTTGTGGCTGGACTGGACAAATCTAGAGCATTTGTCCTCAGCAGAAACCTGGCTGAATAAAAAATCAGGAGTGAATGAAGTGCAGATAAATTATTTACCCAGCATAATTACTCTCTTCTGCCTGCATAAGCTCAGGTTCCCACAGATCCATTATTTCCAGGGATTCCAGGGTTAATCAGTCTCTCTTGGGAGTGGCCCTCCCAGCAGCTCTTGCATAATCATTACCTCAATATTTCATTCCAGTCAAACACAAATGCAGACAGAAGCAATCTGGTTCAGCCTGCCCAGCCCAAGAGGGGAGAGACAATCTATTCACCCTGGCTTTCCAACTCCAGAAACCAAGAGATTCTGATAAACATACTGGCTGATATGTGCAACCCACAAACTATCCAGGACCTAATTCTTTGGAATTAAACAGGACAGTAAACAGTTAAATTTATGAACACAGATAAGCAAGGAAAGTTAACTATGGTTTGCTCTGGATAGCAGAATAATTAGTGTGTCGTTCCCTCCTCCCCCAATTCTTTTGCTTTTCTGTACTTTCCAATCTTTCTGGAAAATATTAGGTACAGGAACCAGACCTAGCTAGCTCCCTCTCACTTGGCTAGATACAGTCCTCCCATAGGCTTTTCTTCTTCCCTTCACAGATAAAATATTCAGCAGGACACATCAAGAACTTGCCAGCTACTCTGCTTGTAGGCAAATGCAACTCAATGCCAACATCCAACTAATACACTTCTAATTTTGGTGCCCAAGTTTAGATTTCCATCAAGAACATGGCATCCTCTTCCTGCAGTGCTCTACAGAAATACCTTATCGTCCTCTCTTCTACATACAGTTCAGCCCTCCCCCTGCCAACAAGTTATTTCCTTGAATTGCCATTTTCCAATCCTGAATCCAATTTCACCAAGCCAAATGATACTTGCAAGATTCTACTTATCACCCTATGCTGTAACTTCAAGTTCAGTCAGCATGCCCTGGATAGCTCTACATGCAGATCTGATACGACGATGATTTAATAAAGGGAAAAGTTACTGTGAAATACTTAGCACATTTCCTGGCACACAATAGGCATTCAATAAACATCAGCTATACAATCCTATATAATAAAAGGCTAATATGCAAATCGACCGAACCACAGAATGACCGGTAGCTATCACGAGCAATGACCACCAGGCGGCAGACACTCAACGCAGGAGCTGCCCCCTGGTGGTCAGTGAGCTCCCACAGGGGGTGCACCATTCAGCCAGAAGCCGAGCTCACAGCTGGTGAGCGCAGCAGGGGTGGCGGGAGCCTCTCCCACCTCCGAGGTAGCGCTAAGGATGTCCGACTGACAGCTTAGGCCCACTCCCCGCGGGCATTCCCTGAAGGCTCCCAGACTGCAAGAGTGTGCAGGCTGGACTGAGGGACCCCTTAAGCGCACGAATTTCATGCACTGGGCCTCTAGTTAAATAAAATGCTTCTCCTCCTCTTTCCAGTCACCTCAGCGTACACATTTCTGAACTGTGATCCTCTTTCCATACCACACCTGCCCTGTGCCATAGAAACTAGTTGGGAAAGCAGAATATTAAATACTTGTCTCACTTTCTTAAACACCTATTTCTTCCTGTTTTCAGGTTTAGCTATTGTTCCGTTCATTTTTGGCTAATAAATCACTGCCTCAAGTCAGAAATTGTAAACGTTTTAGTGTTAGTAACAAAAAGGAACTCTGGCAAGAGATTATTTGAATGTACAAGACAAACCTAATTCTGAATTGAAACCTAATTCTGAACTGAAACACTATACTAGAAAGCCATTCAAATAAAAAACTGAAAACATTCACACACATAAAATCTCACCCACCTGTCTGAATGCAGATCAAGTCAAAATCATGTTGCTCAGAATTTAATAAACTTAACAGGTCCTAGCAAATTCGTCTAAAAGAAAATCCTTTGGAAACATCTTAACACAATGCATACCGCATAGAAATCTCTAAGACATACACCAGGGACCGCACGTTTTTGGGCAAACTGCACGTTATTTAAATCATAACTACAGATCATAATGCAGTTTAGGTGTTGTTTTTCAATAATTATAACATTTTTATTTACAAAAACAATTAAACAATTAAAGTTCCTAGTACGTTTTTAACGTATGGTACTGCGTAAAACATTTTTCTCTATGAAGAGGAACCAAACAAAATACATAAGTATCTAGATTCGCTCCTTTTTCCATGGGCGGCACAAACTCTGCAGGCTCTCGTAGGAAATTTTTTCTTTCCACTCACTGGAATACACGTAGGTTCATGCTGCTTCATATCACCTGACAACCTTTTGGGTGTACAAAGGCACGTGGGGCCCCGTGTTCGGACCATAGGTTCAAGCTTACAACCACAGCCGTTGGCTATGATTGTGCTGGGAGGGCCCTGCCCTCCAGCTGGGACTTGCACTTGGCAGTGAGAGGACCCTGTCCTTTCATTAGTCCGAGGCTTGAACCTGGCCAAAACACTGTAACCGCGCCCCACAGTGGACAAGACAGTGTGTTGACATCTAAGGTCCATAACAGATGGCGCGTGAAAAACGAGAACACTCATGAGCGGTCCTTAACAGATGGCGCGCAAAACACGAGAAAACTCCTGAGCGGTACGCAATGTGTTAAGTTGTTTCTTATAGAAATTAACTGTTAAGCCTTGCATGCTTACTGGCTGTCATGGACAACTGTATTCAAACTGAAATCTCTATCTCCTAAAAGTGTACAAAGGTCTAGTCTTCTGCTAGAGCAGAAGGGCACCATACCTTCCTTGAATTTTTTTTTCTTTGATCAAAAGAAAATTAAGAAACCACTGACTCTGAAAATTCCTTCTTTTAATTCAGATGCCAGTATCAATGGTGCACAGCATCAGTGCGCTGCTGAGGATGCCCCCAGTTAGATTGGGGACAGCACCAAAGAGAAAGCTGGTATCAAATTTGCCCAGGCTGGAATCCATACACGTTCACCAAGGCCTGAGCATATTGGGCATGCAGACCCAGACTTAACAGGCATCAACAGAAAGGCAGCACACAACAAATTCAACCTGGCAACATGCATAGTGTGAGGGTCTTTCTCCTTTTCCTGCTCCTGTCTAAATCAGAAACTACTCATACCCTGCCAAATCTCCACGCTAAAAAGATAATGGGAGTAAAAAATATTAAAATGGTAATAGTTGTTATCTCTAGTAGAATGGGAAATTGTCACCTTTATACATTTTTGTATTTTCCAAATATTCTACAATTGGGCATACTTAACTTTAAAATCAGCATAAAAATAAATTAAACATGTCCTAACTGGTTTGGCTCAGTGGATAGTGTCGGCCTGCAGACTGAAGGGTCCCAGGTTCGATTCTAGGCAAGGGCATATGCCTAGGTTGCAGGCTCAATCCCCAGTAGGGGTCGTGCAGGAGGCAGCTGATCAATGATTCTCTCTCATCATTGATGTTTCTCTCTCTCCCTCTTCCCTTCCTCTCTGAAATGAATAAAAAAATATTTTTAAAAAAAATTAAACAAAATTTGTTGCTTCCCAAGAAAGAAAATAAATGTTTTGATACATATCATTAGCCATAAGTCACAAAGTACCTATCAATTTCCCCCATCCCCTTATATAGTAAACCTGAAAGAAATAGCTTGTGAAGAATTTGAGAAATGACATATAGATGGTCTGGATAAGAGCAATTGCATTTTTAGAAATTCTAAATTCTTTAGTTCTAAAAAGACACCCCCCTCCCCGCCAAGTAGAAAAACCCTATGGTTAGATTTCAACAACTAAAAGAAGAATTAACACTGTAAACAAGTGGCCCTGGCCAAGTGGCTCAGTTGGTTGGGCATCATCAGGGCACATACCTAGGTTGTGGGTTTGATCCCCAGTGAGGGTGAGTACGGGAGTCAACTGATCATTTCTCTCTCTCTCTCTCTCT